AGAAGTTTCTAACCGACTAAATTGGACAATCTCTGGAGATTTTTGGCTTTTGTGACCACTAGAGTTAGCTTTGTGTAAATATTTAAATTGCCTGTGTTCCTGTCAGGAATTGCTCAGGAGAAGTCAGTAGGCATTAGGTGCCTACATGGTAATTCCTGTAATGGATTCTTGGGTTTGAGTCTTCAGAAGTGCTCTGAGATACTGCAGAGAGAGGAGTGATTGCATACAGGTGGGATGGAAGTATCACAAACTTTAGTTGATGAGTTTGATCTTTTGACATTGGTATTATTTTCCTCAAAGGCAGAAGTGAGGGAGAGTCCCCACTGAATCTGGGATGATCTGGTTTCTAAACTTTAGAATATGAACACTGTGTAGGTGGAGTTTTCTACTAGCAAAATACAAAGATTGAAGGAGAAAAATGCAGAATTTTGACTGATGCATGAGGTCTTTTTGATAGAAGCTTCTCCTGTGACAGAGCGGTCGCAGGTTTCCCGATTAACACTTGGGTTGTTTCAAGCAGCAGAGGGTCTGGTTGTCTGTCTGTCTGAGGGCATTTGCAGCAGAGCACAGTTTTTACTATTTAGAGCTGAGATGGAAAGTTCCTATTTAGATTTGGTGCCAGAGTCTTTAATAGAAATCATGACTTGTGGTATATTATAGGTCAGTGTGTATTTGCTAGTTTATATTATGCTGACTAAATTGGCCAAGTACTTATTTTTACTGGTAAACATTCAGGAGGTTTTCTCCTTGCTGGTTCTTTTTACAACAAAATAGTGTTTGTCGTGTGTGGAATTAGGGCAGCATTTTATAAATCATCTGCCTCAGCAATGATGTGAAAATGTGTGGTGGCTTACAAAGATCTCCATTGTCAGGTACCTCAGGGCTGTAGATGGAGTTAACTTCATCCTAATTTTAGTTCTGGAAATTATGGTCATGTAGAAAACAAAATTCTTCTGGCAGTGTAGGAAAAATACAAATTTTAAACTCCATCAAAAGTGGCTATTTCAGGGATATTACCAGAATAGGTAACCCTGGTTAAGTTAGCTCCTCTCCCAGCCCCTTAGGAAGCCCCAAAAGCATGTTTAAACACCTTTAAATCCCTGTGAAGTCTAAATATGACCTGTGGCTGTAAGGAGACGAGTTCCAGTAAAGTCCATAACTACTGGTGAAATGCAGCACTGTGCTTAGGCTGTACCATCAGTGAGGCATGGAATTCCAGTAGGAAAAGTACTGTGGTCACACTCCAGTGCCTGCTGAGTGACAGGACGTGGATGTGTTTATGTGCAAGCTAATTGTGTCATTTCTGGAATTATTTATACGTGGCTCCCACGTGCTGTGAATGGCATTTTCTGATAAGTGTTAATTATATACAATTTATAATCAGTTCTCTTCCACTAGTCTGCCTAGCATGCTTAAAATTGAAATGTTGCCATTCTTGAGCTATTTTATTCATTGCTCCATCAGGGAAAAAAGAAAAGTACATACTCTTAAGAGTATAGAGGGACATTTAAGGACAAACTTAAAACTTGCATCAGCAAGTTCCAGTTTTTACTTTTTAATTTTTACCTTGCACAGTTACACACCAAACAAGCTTGTTTTGGACAGCTTTCTCTAAAAGGGATCATTTGAGTATTTGAACGTTTATTCAGGGCTAGATCTGGAATATTTGGCATAGATGTGAACTGTAGCCCTGCAATTTCTGACCAGAGGCAGGAGAAAAGGAACAAAGCCTGTTTCAGTGGGAATGGCCGTGCCCTGCAGCGTGAGGTAAGGAGAGTTCAGAGCTGGGATGCCAGCCTGTGAGAAGGAATGCTTCTGAGTAAAGATGCTGCTGCAGAGATGTGCTAGCTCAACCTTTCAGATCACCTGGGGTGAGCTGAACCCTCTCCTAGCACCTTTTCCCAACGTGATTCCCGCACGAAGCACTGCGGGGCGGCTTGTGCTGCTTTGTGTTCAGCGTGCAGGCCTGACATCTGCTCGGGATGTTTTCCTGCAGGAGGGCTTTTGAAGCCCGTGCTCTCTAGCTGGTTCTTCTCCCCAGAGCTCACTCTCCCTTGTGTCCCTCCCGCAGGTGAAGCAGCTCTGAGGGGGGAGCCCAGGATGCAGCCCCTGCCGGTGTCCCCGGCTCTCAGCAACCACCGGACGGGCCCTCCTCCCATCAGTCCCAACAAGAGGAAGCTCAGCATGGACCAAGGGGATGAGGAGCTAGACTGTGAAAACGACCATGTCTCTAAGATGAGTCGGATGTTCAACCCACACCTGTAAGTGCCTTCCTTGTTACCTCTGCCCCTGGGTTCGGTGCTGCCCCTTCCCTCTCTGTGCCCCAAAACTGCGCCGGCTCTAAAACTTCCTGCTAGTTTTGTGTTTTCCCCTTTGTTCTGGCGGCTCTGGAAGGCCTGCCCAAAGGCCGGTGTGATGAGGTGGGCCTCCTTGCTTCCCTTTTTCTCCATGCAGCAAGAAGCCGCAGGAATTAGCTCAGCTTTATTTCGAGCCAAACACACCGCGCGGTGCCGGGAGTCCCGCTCCTTTGTTCCTCGGCATCTGCTCCTTCCCCTGCCCCGGACTCCGAGCTCTGTGGGGGTGGGGAAGCAGGAGGAGGAGGAACAGAAGTGCTTTGCATTTTTCTGAGGCCAGGAGCTGGTGAGGCAGCTGCTGCCGGGACACAACCGGGCGAGCTGCGGTTGTTGCTGCGGTTGTTGTTGCGCTCGGCGCGCAGGTTCCGCGGCAGGTGAGGCCGGTGCGTGTGTCGGGCCATCAGTCACCAAACGCCGTCCCTGCTGCCTTCTCGTTCCCGGGAACAGCAAGCCTGGCTGGCACGGGAGCACAGGCTGGGAGAATTCCTGTCATTCCTGCCGGGAGGAAGCGCCGGGAGCCCCGCGGGCCGGTGGCTGCGCTGCCTCAGCTCCCGCATTCCCCGCATTCCGCGCTGCTCTGGACTCGGGTGTTGGGTCATGGGATGCGGACACACAGGGGTTTATCCTCCGATAAATCACCGGAGCGTTAGTCAGAGGCTGGGCCCGTCGTCTGCAGGCCTTGGAATTTGTGACAAATCAGGAATGCAGCGCTGAAGTAATGCAAAACAATGAAAGCTCACAGGCAGAAAGAGGCTTCTGGTTGACAACCTACCTGGCTGTTTCTCCCAACAGCTTAACCCTTTGCAGCCCTTCCCTGCAGCTGAGAGTGCTGCTCTGGGGAAGAGCCATGTGCTGCATTGCTGTGGCACACACGTGTGACACAAGAAATTCATGGCAGTGCTGAATTCTGACATAACTTTGTTGGGAAAAGGTGTGATTTTTATTTATATTTTTTTAAAACTCATTTGCTGGTGATGAAATAAACCCCAGCTGGCAGTTATAACCCAGTTATAACCCATGTTGTAACACTTTATACAGTGGAGGCCATAAAAATAATGAAGTCTGAAACCAAGGGGCTCAGGTGCAACCAAGGTTCAAAAGGAAAAGATACAGACAGATGTGCATCTTTTCTGCTTACACCAAAAAGCACTTGTTGCCTGCCTAGTGTTCATGGGATGGGGTTCAGTCTAATTTTAATTAAGCCACGTGCTGCAGGTGAATTATAATTTAAAGCAGCATGCACAAGGCCATCTTTATTCTACCTTATCTTCTAAGTCTGATCTGGCTGTATCAAAATGTGCTTTTCACTGAATATTACAAAATCACAGACTTTTGTGATATGTCTGAAACAGCTGAATATCTATAATTTCAGGTATATCAGAAAAGTTCACAGATGTTCTCTGAATTTTATTCCCATTTCCCTGCCACCACCAATGAAGTTAATTTTTCAAATGTTTTTCATATTTTCCCTCTTTTTTTTGGATTATGGCATTCTGGTTTAATGATATAAATTCTGTGGAACTGTCCTAAAACTTTTGGTTTGGAGAGGGGAAGTATGTGGTAGAAGCTTGACTGGCTCATACTAAAGAAAAGATGTTAGATTTGGGGACAGAAATATTTCAGGAGTCATGATAATGACAGTCACATTTCAGTAACTTGTCAAACTTAAGACTTCTAGGAGCTCCAATTCAGAGAACCAGATCCAGCCCAGATGTGGAGTGTTCTGTGGAGACCAGATGGCACAGTATCTTTGATGGTAGCAAAGACATTTGTGTGATTTGGACTAGAAAGAGGAGGTTTAGTGTATTTTGAACTTGCCAAGACAAAGTCCCCTGAAGGTTTAGGATGGGGATACAAACACTGTTCCTGGGCGTAGCTGCCCCAGTCCATGTTGGAGCCACAAACTGCACATCTTTGCCACACAAAGGTGTTTAAATCCCTACTGCTCTGCCTGGATGTCTTCAGTTATTCCCACTGTCCAGATGGGCAGATCTTTCCAGTTTGGAAGGTGGTGCTTGGAAGACACAAGACTTTATAACCCTGAGCAGCTCTTGTTCAGACATTTTTGTCTTTGAGTGTTGGTAGAACTGTGAAGCAGTTGTATGTTCAGTCTCTTAACACCAGCACATTGTGGTTGGAAAGGTAATTAAATGGAAAGAGAATTGTCTGCTGTGGTTCACTATAAATGGTAGAACCTTTTGTTAGTTATTGGATGTTAACTCTTAGGTACCCACACCCCAGCAGCTCAGTTGCTGTGTGTCAGTGGGAATTAAGCCAATTAAGCACTTTGGAGAATCTCACTAGGAGTCCAGTGATGACAGTCCTTGTCTCTGAAATGCTGCTCAGGTGGAACTCTGATGTGTCTTCTTTGATTAGATTCTTCGAGTTGTGCTCAGGCATGTTTACTTTTATCATGGGCAGACACAACTGCTGGGAGTGCAGCCTCTGCAGCAGAAATGCCCTGGAAATCCTACCATGTTTCTAGAATATGTAATGGGATTCCGAGGCACAGAACAATTTATCAAAGGTTCTATTTCAGAGAAGGTAATTCTCAACTTTAGACTCATAAAATGTGCTTGAGAAGTTGGGGATGAATTTTTTTTTAGATCAGTATGTGAAAATGCCTGCCTTAATTATGGCAGCCTGCTGGTATTTATGCAGCTTTTCTGTTCCTGTGGTCAGTAGAGATGACACCCGGAAACTCCTCACTTGTGGAGAAAAACCCCAACTACTTCCACCCTGGGTACTGTACTATGGGGAGCTGTTACTTGCATTTCACACTTTCTTCTTTGTCCCTCTGATGTGCTACTTAAAATGCATTCAGTAAAGCATGGTCCTGCTGAGGTAAAACCTTCTTTTTGCAAGGCACTTTCCTGGTGCTTTGTTCAGGAGGAGCCAGGGTATGTTCAGCCTCAAGTTGGAACATGCCTTTGTTTTCATATGACTTCACTGAATTCACCTTGATTTACAGAAGAGTAATTAGGAGCTTGATTTATATAAGGATTACAAGCACTTTATGTATGAGTGAAGTGGCTGGAGAGCTATACCAGCCTTTCTTAAGAAACGAAGCTGCTTTGTTACATTTCCAAGGTGTATTTAGCATTTCGTGGCAACTCCTGTGCAAAATTAACTCTCTGTGGGCCCCGTGATGTGAGGGGAACGGGAATGAAGTGTGTTGCACCTTTAAGTGAAGGCCTGGGGCCTGACCCGTGTTCTGTGGGTTTCTTGTTTGTCAGGCTGGAGGCATTTTCTCATTTTCACAGTTCAGCTGCAGACAAAGGCGTCCTTATCCCGCCAGGAGCTCAGCAGCGCTGACATCAGCCTTTCCCAGCGGGCTGAGCTGCCCGAGGAGAGCCCGGGCAGCTCCTTCCCAGGGCACTTTCCTCGCCAAGTCGCAGGGAACACCAGCGAAATGCCAAGAGCACAACATCTCACAGTTATCTTTTCATTTCTGGGGGGCGGAGGGGAGCGCTCCAGGCTGGTTCTGCCTCTCTGATTTTCAGCAGTATCTAGCAAATTCCTCAATTTTCACAGATCTGGCTGGT